CAGTGCTGAGGGAGCGCCGTACTGTCGGAGGGTCAGTGCTGAGGGAGTGCCGTACTGTCGGAGGGTCAGTGCTGAGGGAGTGCCACACTGTCGGAAGGTCAGTACTGATGGAGTGCCGCACCATCAGAGGGTCAGTACTGAGGGAGATACAATGTTTGTGTGTGTGTGTGTGTGAGCGTGAATGAATGTATTTCTGTGTAAGTTGAGCGTTTGAGTATGAATGTGTGAACGAGTGTGAACATGTGATTGAGTGTGTGTGTGTGTGAGAGAGAGAGTGTGTGTGTGTGTGAGAGTGTGAATGTGTGGGTATTTGAGTGTGAGCATTTGAGTGTGAATGCCTGGTATTTGACCATGAAGTGTTTGTTTGAGTGTGCAGTGGGGTCAGATTCAGATCGATCCAAGTGATTAGAGAGTGGAGATACCAAGGTGTAGAGCTGGATGAACACAGCAGGCCAAGCAGCATCAGAGGAACAGGAAAGCTGACGTTTCGGGCGTAGACCCTTCTTCAGAAAATGGGTGAGAGTGGAGTTTTGTTGAAGGGATTATATTGAACTGACCTAGGGATCGTACTGTCCAGGGAATGTCTGATGAAATCCGGCAGTAATGTCAGCCGAGACAGGTCTGATGTCAATACAGGTTCATACAGCATCTTTAAAGCTGTTCAACAGGACCATGACGAGGCCATTCTGCACTTTGAGTGTGGCCCCCTCTTCAGTATGATCATGGCTGATATTTTATGCTAATTCCAATTTCCCTCCCTGTCTCTCATTGCCCAGGAAATGGATCAATCTCAGTGTTGGCTGACAACAACGACAGGTCTGTGTGGGAGAGAATTCCAAAGATCCACCCTCCTCTGCATGAAGACATTTCTCCTTACGTCAGTCCACAATTGGTAGACCCTTTATCCCAAGACTAACACCCTTTCTCATTCTAAGCTCTTCAGTTGGGTTTAGAGAGACAAGAAAACCTCTGTTTTGACCCTGTACAGCCATAATGTGGGCCACACAAAGAGACATTAGGGAGAGGTGTCAAAGGGCAGTCTTAAGTGGGGTCTTAGAGGAGGAGAGTGCCAGATGCAGACCTTCTCCCTGCTCTGGGTGGGCTCTGTAATTTACAAAGCTGGTTAGCCGTCAATGTTCCTGTGAGAAATGTATTGGTGGATTGTTTGTAAGTCACTATTCTGGCATTCCTGCAGTCTGTATCTCGTCATTCTTTTGACAGTGTGAAGTTTAAATTGTTTGGTAATTGGTCTGTCTAGAGAGGATAATGACTATCTTTGTGATTACAAACTACTAATCTAATCAAATGGTTGTGATAAGCATTAGACTGCTTGAACAAGTTTCGTTTTTGCTGATCCAAAGGTTATGTTATCAGACTGAAACTCGGAGTGATAGACTGCTGATGCTGCCTGGTCTGCCCTGGGATCAGAATCGGAGAGACCTTGCAAAACTAAAGGAGGCCATTCTGCCCAGCAAATCCATTCTGGCTCCCCTGAAGGAGCAATCCAGACAAATACCCTTTCTGCCATCCTATCCCCGTGAGACTGCAAGGTCACAAAAATATGAACTAGGAGCAGCAGAAGGCCACTCAGCCCATCAAGCTGTGGCCAACCTGATTATGGCTGCACCTCCACTTTCTTCCCAACCTGCTCGATCCCCTGTGATTCCCTTGTTAGTTAAGAATCTATCAAACCCTACCTTAAAGATATTCAGTGATCCAACCACCACCCCACTAGGGCAAGAGAGTTCCAATGGCTCGTGATCCTTGGAGAGAAAGCATCTCTAACTTAAATTGTACAGGGGCCTTGGTAAGACCACAGCTGGAGTATTCTGTGTGCAGTTTGAGATCTCCTTCTCTGAGGAAGGATGTGCAGGCGATGGACGGAGTGCAGCGAAGGTTTCCCAGAATGATTCCTGGGATGACAGGACCAACGTATGAAGAGAGACTGAATTGGTTAGGGCTATGTTCACTTGAGTTGAGAAGAATGAGGGGCGATCTCATAGGAACCTGTAAAATTCTAACAGGCTTAATGCAGGTAGGATGACTGGGGAGTTCAGAACCAGGGATAAGGACATGGAGTAGGGCATTTAAGACTGAGATGAGGAGATACTTCTTCACCCAGACCCTATGGAATTGTCTGTCACAGAAAGTGGTTCCATCAAAACATTGAATGTTTACAAGAAAGAGCTCGATATAGTTCTGAGGTTTAAACTTGTTTTGGGGGACAAAGCGGAAGCAGGGGACTGATTTGGACAATCAGCCGTGATCCTATTGGATGGCAGAGCAGGCCTGAAGGGCCAAATGGCCTATTCCTGCTCCGATTATGTCTCCACATGGGAGGCCCCTTCTATTTGAACTGTACACTCCATTTCGAATGTCTCCCACTGATTTCCCTCCACCACGGATTCTTGTACTGAACAGCCCTGTCCTCAGCTGAGCTCTTGGAACAATGCAAGAGTGTGGGGAGCTTGGAGGGAGAGGGGAAGAGTGGAGAGACGGGATCAAGTGGAGGGAGGGGGAAGTCGCCTGGACTCTGAGGAGAATGGAGACCAACCTCAGGAGGTTAGAGATGGGCTGCAGGGCTAAGCAATTGCAGTTTGATGCAGGAAGATGTGAGGTGAAACATTTTGGAAGAAAGAACATGAATTGACAGTAGAAAATTCCAAAAGAGGGTGCAGGAGTAGAGGGACCTGGGTGAATATTTCTACAAATCAATGGAGGTGAGAGAACAAGTAGAGATCATGCTGAATGAAGTATAAGGCATGGTGAGTTTTATGAGTGGGGTACAGACTCAAAACTGAGGAGGTCATCAAAAAAACTGGATAACACCTCCAGTAAAAGATTGGCTGAAATATGGTGACTACTCCTGGACACCACCTTCAGAAAGGAACAGAAGGTCAAAGATAAGGAAGAGAAAATATTCAGGGGGATGGTTCCAGGACTGAACAATTTCTGTTATGTGGAGACATTGGAGAAACTGGGACAGGTTTCCAGTGGAGGGGAGATTAGATCGACTTATTCCGGCTCAGACAACTGTTCCTCTCTGAGGCACCAATCGCAGCTTGTAATTCATCAAAGTCCCTTGGTCAGAGAGAGAGAGGATGAAGGAAGACTTGAAAGAGAGAGAGGGGAGAGATGGGGGACTAACAAGAGCAGAAGCCAGATGTGCACTGTCGGAGGATCAGGAGGGAGTGGGATGTTTGTGGATGTGGTGCCAATCAAGCGGGGGTTGCTTTGTCCTGGATGGTGTCGAGCTTCTTGAGTGTTGTCAGGGGCGGTAGGACTGAACATGAAGGTGATGGACAGTGTGATAATCGAGCGATACTGGTTGTGTTGCTCAGGACTTGGCTAACTACATTCATTTGTCCTTCCAGTGCCCCCGAGACCGATTGTGGAGGTTCAGGGAGAGGTGTTGGTGGAGAACAGCCTCGCTAGATTAATTTGCACAGTTCCCCGGAGTAAACCTCCGGCTCAAATCCGATGGTTCCGTGGAAAGAAAGAAATTGCAGGTAAGGGTTTTCCTTTGGGATTTTCCCATGGTGCTTTGCGCGGCCCAGGCAGGAACAGCCCCTGCTGGGAAGGGAATTGAATCATGAAACCACCGTCACTCCATCAGAGGAAGGAACCTCAACATGTTGATTATCGGAGGAGCAGGATATTGGAGAGAGCTTTCAGACCCAGTTCCCAGAGCAATTCCAACACATGCACAAACTTCCAGGCCACATCTCCGAGACCTTCACTCTCAAAGAGGATAACTACTGCTTACCGCACAGGCCCAGGACAGGACAGCACGGGGTTAGATACAGAGTAAACTCCCTCAACACTGTCCCCCCATCAAACACTCCCAGGACAGGGACAGCACGGGGTTAGATACAGAGTAAAGCTCTCTCTGCACTGTCCCCCATCAAACACTCCCAGGACAGGGACAGCACGGGGTTAGATACAGAGTAAAGCTCCCTCTACAGTGTCCCCCATCAAACACTCCCAGGACAGGGGCAGGACGGGGTTAGATACAGAGTAAAGCTCCTTCTACACTGTCCCCCATCAAACACTCCCAGGACAGGGACAGCACGGGGTTAGATACAGAGTAAAGCTCGCTGCCCACTGTCTCTATAAAAGAACCTATGTGAGCATTAGGATAGACACCCTCCCCCATTTTCTGATTTGACCGGGACTGAGGGGCCAATGGAGTTAAGATTCTGGGTGAGAGATACAAAGGGTATTGTGAGGAAGACCTTTGTTAGAAAACGAGTGGGAATCACTTCGAGCTCTCTGCCTACGAATTGGTGATGGAAAAGACAATAGATGTCAGTTGGAGTCACAGAGGTTTACAGCACTGCAAGAGGCCCTTTGGCCCATCAACTCTGTGCCTGTCATAGACAACCACTTCACTGTTCAAATTCCATTTTCCAGTACTTGGACATGTAGGCTTTGGGCATCGCAAGTGCACATCTAAATGCTTGCTCAGTGTGGTGAGAACTTCTGCCTCTGACACTCTTACAGGGAGTGAGTCCCTGATTCTCCCCCCACCCTCTGGGGTGGTCACTTGAAAAGAAATTAAACTTGTGGAGCTTTGGGGAGAGAGTGTGGTCAGGGAGGCGGAGGGGAGTGGGGTTGACTGGATTGCTCAGCAGACAGAGGGCCAGTATGGGGTCAATGGGCAGAGTGGCCTTCTTCAGTGCCATTGTGGCTGAATGTTCCCTCCATAAGGGATATCAGCTGCGCCAGACGGGCATTTATCACTTGCCCCTAGTTGCCCTGCAAAAGCCACAGATAGTCACAAAAGTTCTTGAGATAAATGTGAGGTGCTACATTTTGGTAAGGTAAACCAGGGCAGGAGTTATACCCTTAATAGGCCCTTTGGAGTGTTGCTGACCAAAGAAACCTTGATATGCAGGTTCACAGTTCCTTGAAGGTAGTAGACAGGGCGGTGAAGAAGGTGTTTGGTACGCTTGCCTTTATTGGTCAGTGCATTGAGTATAGAGTTGGGAGGGTCATGTTGCAGCTGTACAGGATATTGGTTAGGCCACTTTTGGAATACTGGGTTCAATTCTGGTCTCCCTACTATAGGAGGGATGTTGTGAACTTTGAAACGGTTCAGAAAAGATTGACAAGGATGTTGCCGATGCTGGAGGGTTTGAGCTACAGGGAGAGACTGAATAGGCTGGGGCTATTTTCCCTGGAGCATCGGAGGCTGAGGGGGTGGCCTTATAGACATTTATAAAATCATGAGGGGCATGGATAGAGTGAATAGCCAAGATCTTTTTCCCAGGGTAGGGGAGTCCAAAACTAGAGGGGCATAGGTTTAAGGTGAGAGGGGAAAGATTTAAAAGGGACCTAAGGGGCAACGTTTTCACGCAGAGGGTGGTGCGCGTATGGAATGAGCTGCCAGAGGAAGTGGTGGAGGCTGGTACAATTACAACATTTAAAGGCATCTGGATGGGAACATGAGCAGGAAGGGTTTAGAGGGATATGAGCCAAATGCTGGCAAAGGAGGGACTGAATTTATTTCGGATATCTGTTTGGCATGGACAAGTTGGACCGAAGGGCCTGTTTTCGTACCGTACAGCTGTATGGTGGGGTGGTAAATATGAGAGAAATACATTTTATGGGTGGGCCTATTCCCTGGTCCACCACCACTGACCCCCGAGAATTAATCAGTTGTGTTGTTTCAGACCTTCCTGCTGCTGGATTATTTCAGAAAATGTAGTTCCGCTCTGATTGCAGGGTTGGAAATTGGGATTGTGAAATGGGTGGGTTGAAGAGGTTGGTGACGTGAGACTGTCCTGACAAGAATCTTTTCTGCCAAGAGTGCTGAACCTGAAAGCTGCACTTTCGAAATGATAACATAATTACTGAGGGCGTGGGTTTCTGAAAGAAGAATGCCAACACAGATTCTTGCAGTAATTCTCTCTATTCGCACCCCACCCCCCCCGCTAACAAACTTTGGCATTCTCAAAAGAGCCAGTCATCAAACTGATTAATTCAGGAATTCATCCCCCAGCAACTGACATTTAGGAGCACATCAGAGCGGGTCGGGAATGTGTTGCGTCAATATTCCACAGCTCAGGATCAGGGCTGTTCAGCCCTTTCGTGACCCTGCGACGCCTCTTTGGAAGATGCGGATACAGGGGAGGCTGAGTGGTATTATTACTGGACTATTAATCCAGAGATGAAAACAGAAGTTGCTGGAAAAGCTCAACAGGTCGAGCAGCATCTGTGAAGAGAAAATTCAGAGTTAACGTTTCGGGTCCGGTGACCCTTCCTCAGAACCTCAGAGTATCAGATGCACTGAAACTCAGGCCTCTCTAAACCCTCCGAAAGGATATCTGCTAACTGGTATAGAATTCCCACAGGGGTCAGAAAAATCTCACATTTCAGTAGCACCCATCCAACCTCAGGGTGTCTGAAAACCCTTCACAACAACAACAACTTACATTGCTACATTCTCCCCGTGTCTGCATGGGCTACCTCCCGCAGTCCAAAGATGGGTTTAAGGTGAGTGGGAAAAGATTTAAGAAGGGCCTGAGGGGGCAACTTCTTCATGCAGAGAGTGGTGTGTACATGGAGTGGGCTGCCAGAGAAAGATGGTTGAGGCAGGTACAATGGCAACATTTAAAAAACATTTGGATAGCTACATGGATGGGAAGGGTTTAGAGGGATATGGACCAAATGTGGGCAATTGGCGTGAGCTGATGATCAGCATGGACCAGATTGGGCCGAAGGGCCTGTTTCCATCCTGTATTACTGTATGACTCTATGTGCAGGTGAAGTGGATTGGCAATGCTGAATGACCCCATAATGTCCAGGGATGTACAGGCTAGGTGGGTTAGCCATGGGGAAATACAGGGTTATAGGGAAAGGTGAAGGGTTGGGTGCAGACCTGATGGCATGAAAGGCTTCTATGGACACTGTAGACATTCTGTGATTCCATGATTCTTCGAAATTATCCTCTCTTGACATAAAATGGTGTTACCATCCCTGAATATTAACAGCCTGGGGATTACCGTTGACCAGAAACTGAAATGGATTAGCCACATAAACACAGTGGCAACAATAGCAGGATCAGAGGCAGGGAATCTTGCAGAGAGTAACTCACCTCCTGACTCCACAAAACATCGACAAGGCACAAGTCAGGAGTGCGATGGAATACTCCCCACTTGCCCTGGATGGGGGCAGCCCCAACAACACTCAAGAAACTCGACACCATCCAGGACAAAGCAGCCCCTGCTCGATTGGCACCACATCCACAAACATCCCACTCCCTCCCCCACCGACGCTCAGTAGCAGCAGTGTGTACCATCTACAAGATGCACTGCAGAAATTCACCAAAGATCCTCAGGAAGCACCTTCCAAACCCATGACCACTTCCATCGAGAAGGACAAGGGGCAGCAGATACGTGGGAACACCAGTCCCCTGCAAGTTCCCCTCCGAGCCCCTCACCGTACTGACATGGAAATATATCGCCGTTCCTTCAGTGTTGCTGGGCCAAAATCCTGGAATTCCCTCCCTAAGAGGCATTGTGGGTCAACCTACAGCGGTTCAAGAAGGCACCTCATCACCACTTTCTCAAGGCAATAAGTGCTCTTCCCAGCTAGAAGCACCCAATTCAAATGTACCAAAGGAATGCTGCACAGTCGGAGGGTCAGTGCTGAGGGAGCGCCGGACAGTCGGAGGGTCAGTGCTGAGGGGGCGCTGCACAGTCGGAGGGTCAGTGCTGAGGTAGCACCGCGCTGTCGGAGGGTCAGTGCTGAGGGAGTGGGCACTGTCGGAGGGTCAGTGCTGAGGGAGCGCCGCACTTGTCAGTGCTGAGGTAGCACCGCACTGTCGGAGGGTCAGTGCTGAGGTAGCACCGCACTGCCGGAGGGCCAGGCCTAAGTACCGCCGGACAGTCGGAGGGTCAGTGCTGAGGTAGCGCCTCGCTGTCGGAGGGTCAGTGCTGAGGGAGCGCCGCACTGTCGGAGGATCAATGCTGAGGGAGCGCCGCACTGTCGGAGGTTCAGCGCTGAGGGGGCGCCGCACTGTCAGAGGGTCAATGCTGAGGGAGCACCGCACCGTCGGAGGGTCAGTCCTGTGAGGTGTAGATCTCAAAGCCCTGATTTGGTAAAATAGCAGACATGAGACTGGGGAGCAGACAGTTCTCACTGGCCTCCTGCAGCCAGATGTATATCTGAATAAACCTCACTAAATCATGTGAATCGGTAACTTGCTGATTTGATGATCCTGCAGGCCTGCTGTGCACAGTTTGACTGCTGAATATGTTCATGAACCCCAAAGATTTACATCATTCTGAGGGCAAGAGTGATGCTGTGTAAATGTAAATGCATCTCTCTCTTCCTTTGTTTTTTAACCATCCGATGTGTCTGCACTTGGAATTACAAATTTAAATTTCAAATCAAATCTGTCTTAGCTGAATTACAGTGTCTCATTAATCTCACTGATACCATAAACTGGTTGCATGCATTCACTGTGCAGTCACTAACACATAAATGGCTTTCATCCTTCCCATATGTTAATAGATTCTACATGTCATACAGTTATAGAGCCATACAGCACAGAAACAGACCCTTCAGTCCAACCAGAGATAGTAGGAACTGCAGATGCTGGAGAATCCGAGACAACAAGGTGCAGGGCTGGATGAACACAGCAGGCCAAGCAGCATCATAGGAGCAGGAAGGCTGACGTTTCGGGCCTAGACCCTTCATCAGAAAAGGGGGAGGGGAAGGGGGTTCTGAAATAAATAGGGAGAGAGGGGGAGGCGGATAGAAGATGGATAGAGGAGAAGACAGGTGGAGAGAGGAGAAGACAGGTCATTTCTGATGAAGGGTCTAGGCCCGAAATGTCAGCCTTCCTGCTCCTATGATGCTGCTTGACCCGTTGTGTTCATCCAGCTCTACACCTTGTTATCTCAGATTCTCCAGCATCTGCAGTTCCTACTATCTCTGTGCCATAAATCTAACTGTGACTGTCACAGAAACAGCCTGTCAATCACTTAGCTTGGCCTTCAGTCCAACCAGTCTATGCCAACCATTGTTCTAATCAAAACTACTCCCACTTGCCTGCATTTGGCCTAGATCCCTCGAAACTTTTCTTATTCATGTACTTATCCAAATGTCTCTTAAATGTTGTAACTGTACCCACACCCACCACTTCCTCTGGAAGTTCTTTCCACACATGAACCACTCTCTGTGTAAAAAACTTGCCCTTCATGTCTTTTTTAAATCTTGCTCCTCTCACCTTAAAATTATGGTCCCAGTCTTGATGCTGTGATATGGAAATGACACCTGCCATTCACCTTATCTATGCCCCTCATGATTTTATAAACCTCTTTAAGGTCACCTTTCAACCTCCTACATTACAGTGAAAAATGTCCCAGCCTATCCAGGCTCTCCTTATACATAACTCAAACCTTCCAGTCCCAACAACATCCTAGTAAACCTCTTCTGAAGTCTGAGATAACAAGGTGTAGAGCTGGATGAACACAGCAGGCCAAGCAGCATTAGAGGAACAGGAAAGCTGACGTTTCGGGCCTAGACCCTTCTTCAGAA